CGAGTGTTAAACAAACATATGGAATATGTATGGAATGCTGGATTGTGTGTCTACACACATAGATATAGACATTTGTATATGGATGTATGTATATATATATATATATACATACATGTAACACTAGTACATGAATATATGCGTACTCAAATATACACACGTATACACACATACATACATTCATGCATGCATGCATGCATGCATACATACATTCATGCATGCATACATACATACATACATGCATGCCTGCATGCATGCATGCATGCAGACATGCATACATGCATACATGCATACACACATACATACATACATACATACATACATACATACATACACACATACATGCATGCATGCATGCATACATGCATACATACATACATACGTGCGTGCGTGCGTGCGTGCGTGCGTGCGAGCATGCGTACATGCATGCATGCATGCATACATACATACATACAAACATACCTACACACATGTATATCTCTATATATATACCTGTATATATATATATATATATATATATATATATATATATTCCTGGGCTCCTTCAACATGCCGCGAACAGAGGGGGGCACTCTCGTCCAGGGCCACCATTGGCAGCCTCCGAGCGAGGGGGACGGCTTTCTGACAAGCCAGGGAGCCTCTCGTCGTCGTCGTCGCCGTCGTCGTCCGGAGTGCGCTTCTGGAAGCCTTCGTCGCCGCGGCTGGACACGGCTTGGGAAACGTGCCAGGAGGGACCCTGGGAGCGGTCTGGGGACCGACTTGGACCGGATTTTGTCTTGCGGCTTGGGATGAGAAAGGTGGCTGTCGAAGAAGTTGGTGTGCCTTCAGAAGCCCATGTGCGCGGGAGGGCGAAATTACTGTGAGGTTTGGTTTCGGCCCCGCTCTGGGGCACTAGCATCCTTCTCCGTCTTTTCTAGGGGAAGGAAAAATGACAAACATAAAAACTCGGAGGTCCGCGCGGATTTCTTGGATCGGCGCTGGGGCCCCCCGGCGGCTCCTCTGGCGCCGCCCCTGGCGCGTTCCGCGCGCCAGGGAGGGGGGTCCAGCGCCGATCCGAGAAATCCGCGCGGACCTCCGAGTTGTTATGTTTATGCCACTTTTTGTTCCCCTATTTTTCTTCCCCTCCTCATCCTCCTCCTCCCCCTTTCCCCCCCCTCTGTGCGCACACCCCGGTCCCAGAATCCCCAAAGCCCGTCTAGAAGGCCACTGCCTTCTCGCAGGGCCCTACAGACGGATTCCGCACGAACCATTCAAAATAGTCCAGAAACATCCCCCCAAATGTTCAAAAAATCCAAACAAAATGCTCAAACATCAAACATAAAAAACACACACACACACGTCCCCAGAGTATTTTGAGCTCCGCGTTCTCGGCAGGCCGCCCTGCGGCCGATTCTTTGGCCGCCGCCCCGGCGCGCGTACCCTGTGCTGGACCAGCCTGTTTGTGTCCAGGCTTCCCTCCCGCGTGGGGCGTGATCCGTCCCCCTGAACGGCCCCGCTCTGGCTCTCCCTCTCCTGCGGCCGTCTCCTCGTTCTTTTGCTCCTCTCCCTGCATGGTGGAGCAATGCGCTCCGCAGTATCCCTGTTCTGCTACCTATCGCCAGCGCAGTGACTCTGCCCAGCCGCCGACGCAAAAAGTGTCTAGGATTCTCAGACGGTGTCTAGGATCGCCGATGCATCGCCAGTGCATCGGCGATGCATCGGCGATGCGGCTCGATGTGGGGCTCAATCTTCTCCACGCCGACGTCGCCAGTGCATGGCCGATGCATCGCCGATGTACCGGCGATGCGGCGAGATCCTCCGACCCCATCTACTCCGACCCCATCTAGGGGGAGCCCCGCGCGCCCCGCCGCGGCCTCGCCGCGTGAGTGCGCCCACTCCTCTTTGCTTTTGCGTCTCCACGGCCGTCCCTCGTCTTCTCCGCCCCTCCCTCTGTCCGAGGTTCGTAGAGGGAGGGTTCTCCCAAGGCGGGGCTGGGGAACGGGCTCAGCCGGATGCTGCCGTTGAAAGCGCTTCCGTCTGCCAGGGACCGTTCGGAGCGAATTCCTTTCCAACCCTACCTTTCTGCCGCAACCCCACCTTTGTACCCCCCTGATTCCTGCATGCTGGACAATTCGCAAGACCGCAGCCCAGGTTGCCTGGACGAGCTCGCGGATTGCCTCTGCCGCGCTGCGACACGGACGCGCTGCCCCTGCCGCGCTGCGGCGCTGGAGGGGGGGGTGCTCGGCATCGCTCGGACGTGTGCATTTTTTTTCTCGGCGAGATCCATCGAGGACCATCCTGGACCATCGAGCAAAAAAAAACGCACGAAACCAACAAATGCACAAGAAATGGACGTCCGAGCGACGGCCAGGGTGCACACAGATCGTGTCCCCAGGGAGTACAATTCTTGTACACACAGCCCCTGCTCCGCGGTGTTGTGCACGACCAGCTTGTTTGTGGGGGCGGACGAGAGGGGGGATGGGGAAAGGTGGGGGATGCGGGATGCGTTGCATTCGGTTGGTTTCGGCCCCGCCGCCAGGTGCCGTTCCTCGATATGTTGGCGCGAGGAGGGGCCGGGAAAACCAGCGAACTGCGAGAACTGATTCGCCAACCCCCTCCTTTCTTATCCCCCGTTTCGTCCGACCCGAGTTGCTTACGGGTCCTGGGACAAGTGAACATTGACCCACGACGGAAACGTGCCCCCCGAAGGAGGGCTCCAGACTTCTGGGGTCCGCGCATCGACAAAATACCAATCATTCGGAGGGAATCCTGGCCGTTGTCAGGCCCACGGCGCCTTCCACAACCCCCTCGCCTTCCCCCCCCCCGAATGGCTCCCCCCCCTCTGCCACCCCCCCCCTTCCGCCAGCTCCCCGCGTGCTATCCCCCCGTCGTCGTCCGACCCGGCCCTCGCCTTCCCTGCCACGTCGGCGCACCCTTCACGCGCTTCGTGGCCCCACGGGGAGCTCCACTCGAGGGCCCGATGCCAGCGCCCGCTAGCCTTCTCCGCACCACCTCGGTGCACTCGTCACGCGTGCCCATCGGTCGTTGAGAGTATGGATTTGGGGATTCCCGGATTCCAATCTACTTTAGGCGCCCTCTTTTTTCAAGGATCGAGCGGCTTCCCCTTTTCCGCCCTCCTTTGGGGGGTGGACGTGGGTAGGCCCGGGTCTTTGGACTTCCTGCGATAAGCGCACTCTGGGGCCGTGGCGGAGGCGTGTGCTAACTGGGCCGTCCATGGGGCCTTTGCTTAAACTTGTTCCGCGTCGTTTAAACTTTCGTAGGTGGTCGAGACAACCCTGTTATGCAAATTAAACGGTTTTTAAGTTGAGACCGTTCTCACGCGACGTTACCGCGCGCGCGTGGTCACACCATGATGACGCGACTACGCGCAAGGAGCGGTGCCAGAGGCATTCGCCACGCAAATCACGCTAGCGTCTGGCACCATTGCAGGCGCATGGTCGCGACGTTATCTTGTGTCCACGCTCGTGCGGAATGCCGTGTGAGCACGGTGCTAATTTAAATAATGATCAATGCGCATCAAAGTGGGATGGACGTGGAGGGGGGATGGCGAGTACCATGATGATGACGATGAGGAGGAGGACGAGGAAGAGGAGGAGGAAGACGACGACAACGACGATGACGATGACGATGACGATGATGATGATGATGATGGTATTGGTGATGTTGGTGATGGTGATGGTGGTGATGATGATGATGATGCTGATGCTGATGATGGTGATGATGGTGATGATGACGTCGATGATGGCCATGATGATGACATGATGACGACGACGATGATGAAGCTGATGATGATGATGATGATAATGACTAGTATCATCATTGTTATCTAGTGGCCTGCGGCCCATCCCGCCACCGTGCGCCTGGGCAGTGCGTCAGAGTCCTCATGGATGCTTCTTGGGGTCTCTTCGGAGGGCTCTCGGGGGCCTCTGGGGGACAGTTTTGATGCCTCTTGGGAGCCTTCTGGGAGCCTCTTGGGATCCATGTCGTTAGTCCTCATCATTGCTCCCGTCCCCCTCAGCTTCAGCATCGTCACCAAACCTCGTCCTCAACCCTCGTCAGCCCTCCCAAATCCCTCTCACCAACCGCCCATTTCATTCATAATTCTGCCCGTTGTCACTTCTGCGATGGCTCATCCGTATCCTCCTCAGGCATCTGGTTTTCCTCTTCATCGGGCATCCACGTCAACCCCCTTCTTCGACCCTTCCCCCCTACTCTATTCCCCAGCCATCCTCCCTTATCCTCCAAACCCTCACCCCTCATTCCCCCTCGTCCTCAACCCTCCTTCTGAACACCTTATACATACTCAGCGATATCATCGCGCATCATCCCCCTGAGTCTTCGCTCCCCTCCCTCACCATCCCTATCGTCACTCATCACCCCCATATGTATGCATTCATCCCCGCTCATCCTCCACCATCCTAAGCCTTGCACGCCCACCCCACTCCGCTAATCCCGATCGTCGGAATCCTAAACATCATCCTCACCGCAAGTATCCTCATCTACTCCTCCCCTAAACCTGTCTACCGTTGATTAATGACGGTATCACGGGGCCTTCCTTACACTACTTAGGCACGGGCTTGGGGCAAGGTACATGATGTAAGGGGGTAGCGGGCTTTGGAAGCATACAACGCAATACATTCACATAGGCACATATATTGATCCAACTTACCGCCCAACGTATTGGAACAACCACATGTGTCGGTTCATCTGCCGAGTCCGTTCCAACGCGTCTGACAGACAACTCCAGCAAACATGCGCACCGAGTCTTGACCAGACATCGTCAACTGGCGCCGTCGTCTGCGACTGATCTCAGTCCGACGGGAAATCTTCAAACAAAGCTTGCCAACATAAGTGTTGAGCTGTGAGCTACTAGTGATGGCTGGCTGCTGCTGCTGTCTGCTGGCTACGTATTGCTGCTAGTGTGTTGTACTATGAGTGTTGCTGGTTGGTGCTGTTGCCGTGTTACTCTACTAGTGTGCGCGGGCTGTGCGGGCCTAGTCGGCGTGAAACTTGCGAAGCCCATTGGCCCTATCCTTGTACATCTGCTGGGGCTGGCTGGCCAGAAAGCTGAGGTTGGTGCTGGAAATAGCCGTGGTGAGCGAGGTGGGCGCTGCCTCGGGGGCAGGATGGAGGAGGTAGGCATGGCCAGGAATATAATGAGGAGGAGAAAGAGGACACATATGGTATGACGGAGGTTAGACGCAGGATGGGGGGGTAGGAGGAGTTAAGAGACGAAGGAAGAGGAGGAGGAGGAGGAGGAGGAGGAAGGAACGGGATGAGAGATCCTCGACGCCCCTTTACTTGCAGAAACGCAGCCATGCACCAGGGGGCCTTCCTGAGGCCCCCTGATGCATGGCCCTTGGGGGCCCTTTGAGGCCCTCTGGTGCCTGGCTTTCTAGTGGCCCTTTGGTACCTGGCCCTCTGGGGCCCTTTGAGGCCCTCCTGAGGCCCTCGGGGGCCTCCCCAGTCTGGAACTCCCTTCCCCTCCACCTCTATAGATCTAGATTGTTGGATATACGGTTCTATGTATAAGTATACATATGTGTATACAGTCACGGATCTATGTATATGTAGACCTACGTATATATAGGTATGTATGTTTTCCCTCTCTCTTCCTCTCTCCCTCTCTCTTCCAATCCCTTTTGAACTGTAGACCTTCATGCGCTGCTGGTGCAGCAGCGGCAAGACCATGCAATGGCCCAGCTCGTTCTTCTGGTTGCTGTCGCGGCTCTGCGGGTAGAAGAGTGGTAGCACGATGACGCCGTAGGGCACGTATAGGATCTCGTGAATCTTCGCCTTCACCAAGTAGCCACGCTCCAACGTGGACGTAGCGCCATCAGAAGCCAAGAACTTTGGTGCGTCGGCTAGGATGATGCCTTGGTTGATGATGCTGGCAGCTGGAAGTAGGACAAAATACATGTTATCGGTGAGCGAGATCACTAAGCTAGAGTACCCGTTCAATGGGAATGCGGACGGTCCGCACCTGAACGCGTCGGCCCTCACTGTGCAGAGCCACGGCACCCACTCCTTCGCGCCCAGTTCGAAGTAGCCATCACCAAGAACATCGAGCGCGTGCTCTTCTGGGGGCGAGACGTTGAGGCGGCCCAGGCATCCCATCCAATTGGACCCCCTCTGATCAAACGCCTGCACGACGCCCTCGATCTTGGAATCGATGACCTCCTTGATCGTAGCCATGTACTTCTTCACAGCGCCGAAGAGAGCTCCATCAGTCCAGGTGCCGACCTTCTCGAAGTCAATAGGATCAGAATTCAATGTGGGCTGGCATTGCAACATCAGCGGCTTCACCTTCCTCCCGCCCTTGGCCTTGTCCTTCTGGGAGGCGTCTGCTACTCCACCAAGCATCGCAGCCTTCTGCTCCTCCCCGACGCCAGCGTACAGGGACCTCGACCAGATGTTGGCTACCTCCTTGGCGAACTGGCCTTTAATCAAGCGCTTCTGGATGTTAACTGACTTGTTGTAGTGATTCATGTACTCCTTCCTGTTCTTGTCCTTCGACTCGTCATTGATGAATTTGAGGCCGGAGAGCTGGTCCCTCACCGAGCCCTTCTCGTTTTCGAGCTTCTTCATCTTCTCGTCGATGTCTGTGACCACCTTGAGGAATGTAGCCTTGTTAGCAGGTTTGACCTTATCAGTCTCTTGGTCGAGGTCTTGATACATAGTAGTCAGGTTGGTGATCAAGGTCGCCGTGGGCAATGGTAGGTCCCGCTCCTGAGTTTGAGAAACTCCTTCTGATGCTTGCCTCAACTGCTTGATGTAGCCCGTCGATGGGTCTTGGAATCCTTTGGACACGTGATCCGACATTTTGCGCCACATTGTTTTCATCATCATGAACCTCACGGGATCGCAGTCGTTGATTTCAGACTGGGTTGGCAATTTGCGCTCCCTGGTCTGGTCGTCGATGTTGATGTCCACGATGCTGCGCCTGCCACTTGACTTGTTAGATTTCTTGTCGTCGTCCTCTGTGGCAGCCTCATCGCCAGTTGTTCCATCACCCCGCAATGCCAAAGTAGGCGCATCGAGGGTCCCCCCCCACGCCGATGACCTTGGTGAGGAGGATAGAATTGTTCCAGATGGGGGCGTGCTGAGACTGAAAACGTTGCTCGTCGCCGATGAGGACGAGGTCTCGTGTTGTGCACCAGCAAATTTAGTTTTCCCAGTTAGCCGCCTCCGCTTGCTCTCGAAGGTGTTCTCATCCACGGGGGTCATCTTGGCCATCGAATCGACCGTGCTAACGCCTTTCGAGTGCCTGGTGCGCGCAATGTCAGTTTGCTTCACCTGGGCAATCCTCTGGCCATTCTCCATGATGTCGGCAATCCCTTTTTGTTCTTTGTGCGTTTTCCAGAACAATTTGAGGCTGTCTGGGTCGGACATGCGGTTCCAGAAACCGTGGAAGGCCTGGAACTGAACCAAGTTGAGGGTCAAATCGTCATTCAGGTCCTTCTTCGTCTCCTTGCTGATGGTGTCCTGTATGCTCATGAACTTGGCCTTGGTGTCTGTCCGAGCTGCATCTCTTTTTTCAGGCTCCACCCAGGGCAGAACTCGAGTCTTCCATCCCTTACGATCATTATGAAATTCATTTTCCATTTTTTCTTTGACCTGTTCTGGGGCTCCCTTCTCCACGAAGGCGTCGTGCGCCCGAATGGCGTTGAAGCACCGCTGATGAAGTTTCATGCCCTTCTTCTCACAGCAGAGGTTCGCAAGAGTATCCTCTAGGTCGCACAGCCCGCAAACGTCCATCGGAATATCATACCCGCCCTTGCTCGGAGAATCACCAACCATATCACAATCATCGGTCATGTGAGACCTTGCTGCAGCACGTAGAAGCAGCGTAGTCGAAGTTAACTCAGGTTCAGTTCGAAACTCGCTGGATCTGCGCTGACAAAGGTCAGCTGCGAATCTCGATAAGTGGGCTCGGCCCGAAAACCGCTGCGGACAACTGCTACGATGATGAGCCGAGGACGGCCCTAGTGTCAAGTTAGAGCAAACATGTCTGCTATGTTTGGGAGGATGGGGGGGCAGGGGAGGACGGAGGTATGATTCAAATTGTAGTGCCAAAGGACTAAAGGCTTGAGGAGAAGGGGACATGGTGTTAGGGCCCCAGCGCCACGTGGGAGCCATGTTGGTAACCCGTGAGGGTATATGATGGCGTAGCCTCCGAGACATGCATTAGCCCCCATATGTTGGCGCTTAGATATGTTTATCGAGTTATCTTCGCGGCCAAGTCTCCAGGGTGATTATCGAGTTATCTTCGCAACACACGGTTATATTGCTTAGGTTGGTGTGCGTATGTTGGTACGTTGGTACCGCTTATGCTTGCGATGTGTGTGCTGGTTTTGATTGCAATGTTTACGTTGGTATGTGTACGATGACCATGCTTGCTATGGTTATGTTTCTGTGCTACTGCTGCTCATGCCCGTGCTGTAGTCGTAGCTATGTTTATGCTGCTTGCGCTTGCTTCGCTTCGGAGCTGATGCTTGATATATAAGTCTTGACGCTTCGCGTATCCCCGCCAGCCCATCCAGGAACGACGCCCATCCGAGGGGGCGGAGGGGAAGGTGGAGGGGGGGTGGAGGGGGGGTGGAGGGGGAGGTGGATGGGGTGGTGGGGGGGGGGGGGGGGGGGAGGTGGAGGGGGGTGGAGGGGTGGTTGAGGGGGGGGGGGGGGGGGGGGGCGGGGGGGGGCAATAGAGGCATAACAGTTGCATAACCACACCTGATATTGGATCCTGGCTTCCATGCCACGTTTATGCAGGTGTTGGGTGGGCTCGGGAAGCCTCCAAGAGCTCCCAGGAGGCCTCCAAGGGGGTCCCAGGATGGGCCAGGAGGGCCCCAAAAAGGCTCCAAGAGGGCCTTAAGAGGGCCCCAGGAGGGCCCCAAGAGCGGCATAAAAGTGGCAGAACCACACATGATGACGGATCCTGGTTTATGCCCATTGTTATGCAAGTTCTTGGTGGGTTCGGGAGGCACCCAAGAGGTCACAGGAGGCCCCCAAGATGGCCCCAGGAGGTCCCAGGAGGGCCCAAGAGGGCTTCAAAAAGGGCACAAGAGGGCCCCAAGAGGGCCGATGGCCCCAAGAGGGCCCCACGAGCAGCATAAAAGTTGCATAACCACACATGGTTCTGGATCATGGTTTATACCATTTTCATGCTGGTTTCGGCTGGGCTCGGGCGGCCCCCACGAGGTCCCATGAGGCCCCTCTGGGCTGTGAAGTACCAGCCAGGACTCCTGCCATTTCAAGGACAGCAACTTTGAGGAACGCAGCCGTGTCAAGACAACCTCCTGGAGGCTGTCTTGACACAGCTGCGTTCCTCAAAGTTGTTGTCTTGCAAGCACTGCCCTTAAAAACCATCCCTAACACACGGCCCCTAAAACATCCCTAAAGCACTGCCCCTAAGCATCACTAAAGCACGACCCCAAACACATCCCCAAAACACGGTCCCTAAACCATCCCTACCGCACGGCCCACAAACCATCCCTGAAGCACGGTCCCTAAACCATCACTAAATCACGGTCCCTACAGCATCCCTAAAACACGGCCCCTAAACCATCCCTAAAGCACGGCCCCTAAAGCATCCATGAAGCACGCCCCCCAACACATCCTTAAAGCACGGCCCCTAAACCATCCCTAAAGCACGGCCTTTAAACCATCCCTAAAGCACTGCCCCTAACACATCCTTAAAGCACGGCCCCTAAAACACCCCTAGATCATTGCCCCCCACAACATCCCTAAAGCACGGCCCCTACAACATCCCTAACGCACGGCCCCTAAGACATCCCTAACGCAATGCCCCCAACACATCCTTAAAGCACGGCCCCTAAACCATCCTTAACGCACGTTCCCTAAACCATTCCCAGACCACGGCCCCTAAGACATCCGTTCCTCGTACCCTCTCTCCCTCTCAATGTCTCTCTCTCTCTCTCTTACTCTTACTCGTACTCTTACTCTTACTCCCCCCTCTCTCTCTCTCTTCCTGTCGCTGGTGCTGCAGGCCCGAGAAGGATGATGATGATGAGGAGGAGGAGGAGGATGACGAGGACGAGGACGAGGAGGAGGAGGATGAGCAAGGTTTTCAAGTCGGTTCGGAAAAACAATGAAGGACGAACGAACGCGGAGGCAGAATCAGGAGGAGGAGGAGGAGGAGGAGACGTCGCGGCCTGAAGACCTGCGACTAAGCTTCGGCAAGGGGTGGGAGGGCTCCCTGGGGGCGCCAAGAGGTGGGCAGGCGGGCCCCAAGACGGTCTCCGAACACCATCAGGTATTGTGTAAAACCTATCATTGCGAGTTTCTTAAGCGAAGCAAGCAAGCATCAGCTCCTAAGCGAAGCACGCAATCACATCCCACCAGCCCTCTGGGCGTAGAGGACTCTTACGTTCCACCCCCTCGGAACGCCAAGGAATCTTACGGAGTCCTAGGGGGCCTGGGGGGATCCCGAGGAATCTGGGACGCCAAGGAATCGTACGTTCCACCCCCTCGGAACGCCAAGGAATCTTACGGAGTCTTAGGGAGTCTGGTGCTTTGGGGGAATCCCGAGTAACCCAGAGGAACCATCGGACATGTAGGAGCCGCCGAAAAGCGTATGAAATCGTAGGGGGTCCATCCAATCGTAAGGAATGCGAGGGCATCGTAGGACTCCAAGCGTGGGGAACCGCACGGAATCGTAGAGAACCCATTCAATGGTAAGGGATGCAGAGGCACCGTAAAGGATTCAAAGTGAGCGCGGGGAATCAGGGAGGCATCCGAAGGAGTCGTAGGTAATGCAGAGGAGGCGTAGGGTAGCTTATGTTTTGCTAACACAACATGGGTTGATGTGTACTCTGTGGCCAGTTGCTTATGCATTGCTTATGCTTTGCTTATGCTTTGCTTATGCTAACTGCGGGTTGCTTATGCTAACTCAAGGGGTGTTTATGCATTGCTTATGCTAACTGAGAGTTGCTTATGCTAACTGCGGGGTTGCTTATGCATTGCTTATGCTTTGCTTATGCATTGCTTATGCTAACTGGGCGGTTGTTTATGCAAACTGGGGTTGCTTATGCATTGCTTATGCTTTGCTTATGCATTGCTTATGCTAACTGGGCGGTTGTTTATGCAAACTGGGGGTTGCTTATGCATTGCTTATGCTTTGCTTATGCTTTGCTTATGCGAACTCTGGCTGGTCATGTATTCATGCCAACCAAACTAAGTGGCCCTCCGTGGTCCGCGCGGGCAAACTAATTCCCACTACACAAAGAAATTATACTAAACTAACCCACGCTCCGTCTGTCGAGGGGACAAACTATTGGATGGGCGGTAATCTGGGGGGTCAAACAACCTCCGCGTCAGCCGAAGGACGGATAGCTCCAAGGGGACCACCATAGGCCCCATGACAAACTCCAAGATGCCCCTGAGCAGGCCCCAATACGACTCCAAGAGGGCCCCGAGAAAGCTCCAAGAGAGGATCCAAGAAGGGCCGAAGAAGCCCCCAAGAGAGCCCCAAGTGGGCCCATGAGGCCCCAAGGGGAGCCCCAATAGGAGCAACAAGATGTCCCGAGAAAGCCCCCAGAGGGGCCCCAAGAGGGGGGCCAAGAGTGCCTCAGTGGCAAGCCCAGGCTCCTCGCAAGTCCATTTGCCCGTTGTTCCCATGCAGTCCGACGGGTTCCAATTGACCCCTCTGTTCGTTTTTGTTGTTTGGAGGGCGGTCGCAGCTGCTTCGCCTCGTATTCCCTCCGAGTTCCCCATCTTCGGCCTTGTGCATGGGAGCCCGAGATGATGATAATGAGGATAATGGTGGTGATGGTGGTGATGACGGTGATTGTAGTGATGGTATTGGGCATGTTGATATGCCAGAGACGGTAATGATGACGATGATGATGGGTAAGAGATGATTGTGTCGATGATAAGACGACAGATCCAATGACAACCGTGGTGATGGTTATGGTTATGACGATGGTGGTAGTTGCGGTGGTCGTGATGGGCTCGCTTAGCATGCCAGCTCGAGCGAGCCAGTGGGCTCCGCCCAGCGTGACCGTGGCAGCCCCTGAAACACTGGCTGGCGAGAGGCGAAAGCTCTTAGAATCTCAATGGGCATGCACACTTACAAAAAAAAACGATTATAGTATGGATACTGTGTGACTGTGAGTTGATGGTTTTCTCCAGTCGCAATATTTTCCGCCGTGCCTCGGCTGAGTATTGCAATCTAAGCGTGCAACACAGGATGAGTATCACATCCAACAATCTAGGGCCCGTCTTCTAGTATTGCTGAGTACCATCTTCGAAGAGATCAACCTTGTTGATGCCCTTGGGGTCCCTGAAGTCACCGCGTAGGCCCTCACCGCCAGGGATACCGCCCAGGTGCACTACGCTATCATGCTCTACTAAAGTGTCTGATGCGCTGCTGCCGCCACGCTGAAATTGCTCGACAACGTCGAGGAAAGAGTGTTTCGTCATCTCGGAGGCGTCGCCCGCAATGGTTTTTTGCTTCTTGGCCTCGGGACCCTCCTGCTCGCACTGCTCACCCTGCCCGTCGTTCTTGGCCACGTCAGGCTGGTCGCCCCCGTAGTCGTTTGCGAAGAGCGGTTGCGTTGGCTGGTCCTCGGCCACCTGCGTCGGCGAGTGTCCTGGCTGCCAGACCGTGGGAGTCCTTGCGAGTCTGGACTGGGCGTCCGCTCCGTCAGGCTCATCGTCTTGCGACTCTACTACGATCTCCTCGACCTCCCCAATGCGTTGTTTTTTCTCTGCTGGAGGCTGACTGCTCTCACCCTGCTGCATTCCGTGCAATTCGGGAGGCTCTTTTGATGTGTCCATTGGCTTGCCCTCGAACG